AAAGGTGTATCCATACAGTGGAATATTATTCTGCCATAAGAAGGAATGAAGTACAGATATATGAAGTATGATCAAACAATATGGTGAATGTTTAAATAAAAAAATTTACAGTAAAAGACACATTGCTGTTAATTCCCCTCAAAATACTCCCCCTCGCTGCCAACACACTTATCCCATCGTTCTTGCCACTTTCTGAAACAGTTCGGGAATTCCTCTTTTGTGAGTGTCTTTAGTTGCGCTGTCGTAACTGCCTCGATGTCCTGAATCAATTCAAAATGTTTACCTTTCATTTTGGTTTTGGGGAAGAGCCAGAAGTGCCACGGTGCCAGATCCGGTGAATAAGGTGGATGAGGACACACCGTAATGTTTTGATTTTACAGAAACTGCTGTATACCAGAAGGGATGTGCGACACGGAGCATTGTCATGATGGAAGATGATTTATGGCACACTTTAAAACACACCTTCTCTCAACCATAGCTCACACCCGACTAACTGCACTGAACAACTTGAAACTTGTCACACACTGTTACTAAGGTTCGATGCATGCTTCCCGTATTGTAGATCCCTGCCTTTCGGCTGGACGGCACTCAGCAGCAGCATTCACCGTATGTTTTGATCATACCTCGTATGATACAACCTGGATAAATCTTGAAAACACTATACTATAGATGAAAGAAGCCAAACACAGAGGCCACATGTTGTATGATTCCATTTATATGGAATAGCCAGAGTGAGAAAATCCATAGAGACAGAAAGCATATGGGTGATTGCCAGGACCTGGGGGAGGGCAGCATGGGGATTGACCACTTCATGGTATGAGTTTTCTTTTGGCATCATGAATAGTTTTGGAACCAGATAGAGGCAGTAGTTGCACGACATTGTGAATGTCAAAAATGGCACTGAATGGAGCACTTTACAATGGTTTATTCAGGTTATGGGAATTTCACCTCAATTACAAAAGTGTTTTTGAAGGGGCAGCCCATATGTGTTCTTGCCAAGAGTGGCCCTTCCAGTGACACCATATGAGAGTTCTTCAGAGAGGCACTTCATTGTGGGTACAAACAGGGAGTGTACAGCCCCCCTCCTGGGCCTGGGGTCTCCTTGCCAGTTGCCAGCCGGAAGTTGGCCCCGAGAGTTGCCTCTTCTCGCTCAGCCTGTCCTCTCTTCTGTGAAGAGGACTTACCTTACAGGTTTGCTGTGAGAATCAGGTGAGATCATGGATGAAAGTGCTTAGCACACTGTAAGTGCTTAATGAATATTAACCTTTATCTCTGGTCTGTGGAAGGAGAGAATGAAGTGGACTCAGAGAGAGAAGCAAAATCCTGGAGCTAGAGAAATGGGGGTTGATATCAGCCATCTAGGCTTAGGTTAGACCTATGAGAAAAGGATAAAAAAATCTTGATTCATGGATTCCTTTTAGAAGTCACCATAACCACGTGCAGCCAGTAAAGCTAGTGAAAGCTAACTTCTACCAGCTGAAACAAACAATATTTGTAAAGCACTTAGAACAGTGCCCAGCAAGTCGTGAGGGCCGTAGAAGTGTTTGATTAAATTAAAGAAGAATGAAAAAAAACCAACTCAAGTCAATTGTAGCAGTCTTAACAAGGCAGCATGGGTAAGTGCCCCGCCCACTTCCCTTCCTCGCCCCCTGCTTCCTCATACTTGGGGGGGCTGGCTCACTCTGAGCACCAAGCATACCCGGAGGTGTGCCTGTATCTTTTGTCAGCACTCCAGTCTGTGCAGGGAGTTGAGCTACTGGGCTTATTTTTTTAGACTAGCTTTGTTTTCTGATTCGTTTTCCTCCTTGGAAGAAGGGACTTTAGTCATCGCTTGGGTCTGGATGACCCCTCTGGCGGAGTAGAGGACTAAGAAGACCCAAGGAGAGGCTCCTGTCACTCAGGTGACTCAGCTGTAAGGGGTAGAGGGCAGCAGGGAGGCTGGGAAGGCTAGTCTGACTTTCACTGATGAAGAAGTACAGTTTTTATTTCTTAGCACAGAATGATGGTTGTGGGGAGCGCTAATTTTAGGGTATTACTTGGATGTAAATGGGTATGTTGATATCTCTCCTAATTCTGTTTGCAGTAAATATCTTTACTGCACAATGAGCACCTTATTACGTACTGGCTGTTTTTGGACAGTTGATGCTTTATAATTTAGTGCCCAAATAATGTCAGTTGTGGTGTAGAAAGAAGAAAGATCATTGGGCTTGGCATCTGAAGCGCAGCAGCTTAGCAGTTGTATGTACAGGATTTCTACTTATTTTTATTCTTTAATCTGTCTGGCCCTCTTCCTGCTTTTGGAACTGGCAACCCCGTCTTCTGGGGAACTACTACTCCTCTGTCCACTCTTGGGGTATGGTTCCTGATTGGTCCTCTGTGCCGAAGGCGAACCTGTGACCTGCCTGGACTAGTTGGGGCTCTTCCTGAAAAAAAATTTTTTTTTTAAGTGAAAGGGAAGAATTTATTATGAGGCCCCAGGTGTCTCAGAGCCTCCAAGGCAGTAATTGCAGCCGTGTAAAAGGATGTTAAAGTGGGGCTTTGCCCTGCCTGTGTTTCCACAGAGCCGCCAGTATAGGTGTATCCTGTATATACCAAAGGGAAGGTGAGGCAGCCTCCTATGTGTGGAAATTACAAAGGAAAAGCCTAGAACTGGTTTTACCACTTTTGGACCCCTCAGCCAGATCAGACATACTGTGGAGGGGGTGAGGATTTAATGGAGAGATGTCTTTGGAGAAGCTGCCTTCTGCCTGCCCCATTGTTCCGACCATTCTATCACCGAGCATAGGGATGGGGAGAGAGTAGAGAGGCAGAGTGGGCAGCATTTCAAGCCTATCTCCCTGAAGTTTTGAACTGGAAGCCCAAGAGCCTTTTCCTCTGAGGTGGGAAAGCCGGGTTAATGGGGGACTGGAATTCCGGTGGCCCTGGTTTTCTGTCTGGAGAAGAAAGCTGGGCCGCCATGGGGCAGGAGGAGACCTCAGACTCCTCAGTGAAGCAGAGAGAGGGAGTGTGTGCATCCGCAGTGCTCCGCTGCCCGGCTGTCTTCCTGGTGGTCAAGTTTCTCTTTGCCTAGGCTGATAGGAAGTGCTTTGCCCTGTCACTTATAACCAAGGGTCCTAAGTCATAGATGTTGGGATCTTCAGCTGTCACTGAACTTCTTTGTCTTTTTTTTGTTTGTTTTTTCATGTGTACAATGGGGTAACAATAATCGCCTCACACTTACTGAGGTGTCCAGGTGAAATGATGTGTGTGACAGCTTTGGGGGCACCGTAACATAGGAGATGGAGGCGGTTACAAGTTTTGTGATTCTTTTACCAACTACCTGACACTAATGATTTGATTGTTCTGGATGTTGTTGGTTTCTTAGTTTAAGTTAAACATTCTTACAGAAACAAATGATGCTATTAGCACTTTCCATTTTTTTAAAGAATGAAAATAAGCTTGATTTGACCTATGTATTTGTAGGAAATGAATGAATGGGTCTTGATAGATTGTGGCCTTTTCAAGTCTAAAAAAGGCTTTCTCTGAGTTGAGTTCTTAGTATGTCTTGGTGAACATTGAGTACAGAGTTTATATCAGATGGGCTCTGCACCATGCCTCCATGCTAGGGAAAATTGTGCTAAAATTTTAGAGTGATTGCATGTTTATTTGACTTTGGAGTTAAGTAGCCTTGGGTTTGAGTATCCTGGTGTTGTCACTTCCTAAAAAAACCATGTTGTCTTTGAGCCACAATCTTGTATCTGTTAAATGGAATACTAATAGTTCTAACCCTGCAGATTGAGAATTAAGGAGATGATGTATTTCAGGTCCTTAGCTGTGTCTTGTATGTGGTAGGTGCTAAATAAATGCAGCTGTTACTATTAAAAATGATAGCTTTAGTAACAGTTGGAATTAAAGGAGGTAAGACGAGAAAATATGAATCTGAATTTAGTATTTTATGGCAAAATCAATTAGTATAAAAATCAATGAATCAACTACTGTTTGGTGTCTTGTCCGTGTAAGACGTAGGGCGGAGTTGTTAAGGTGTGTAACACCTTTCCTGTCTACTGGGGGAACAAGTCATGTGCATATGGAAAAAAACAGGTAATATACAAGGAGCTGGTCTTGGGGAGATGGAAGAGGATTGGAAAGGGGGAGGCATCCCAGCAAAGACTGACAGCTGATGGAAAAATGTAGCAAGGGAAATGATGCAAAGAGTGAAACGTTTTGGGTGATCTTTGGAACAGTCCAAATGATGTATACACGTTATGCCTTGTTTTCCCGTTTTATTTTTTCCTTTGACTTCCTGACTCCATCCCAGACCTGCTTAGTGTTTCTGATCATTCTGATGAAGATCTGTAACCATCATACATTCCAGAGTTTAGCATTTTTTTGTAGACTCATTTTCTCTGTGAGCAGTTGGCTTTCTGTTGGCTCATGCCCCTCAATCATCCGAATACTCATAAGCATATTTTGCCTCTCACTTCCCTTTTGCGCTGCCTTATTTTAGTTTTCTGTGCTGTAAGGGGCCTTTTCAGAGTTGTATCCTGTTGAATCTTGGCTGTCAATTTAGCAGATATTTGTTGAGAACCTACTACAGGCAGCAGGCAGAGCAGTGGGCTTAGGAGGCCTGGGGAGCAGAAGGATTGGTGAGATGGGTGGTCCCTGCCCTCAGGCTCCTTGCTTAGTAGAGGAAACAGTTGGGCAGGCGGACTCTAATTAAATGTGATTAGTGTTTTTTTTTGGTCCAATAAGAAAGGCGTTTGGGGGAGCCCAAATCCTTAAGCCACTTGTGCAGTGCTTGGTTCTTGATGGCTGTCCACCTCCTTGAGCACAGTCTGGAAATATACATTCTTTATCAGAAGCTAGTGTGCTGATGTGAAATCTCTGTACATGGTTCCCTGCTTGGTAATGTGCTTTATGGTAAGTTCCTTTTGTCACCCCCACCCAAGTTCTCCACCAGGCAGAAAGTCTAGACAGAAAGTCTAGATCTAGGAGTTTAATCTCTTCCTCTCCTCCCACAGACTTAGGCCTGCTCCTCCCCTGGGTTTTCCATCTCATCAACCCAGCGGCCAGAGAGTTCCTTTGACACCCATCCACCTCTGTCTCAACCCTGGGTCTAATTATTCACCAAGTCCTGCCAGTTCTGTCTGATTGTACATCTCATTGTCATCTCCCAAGTTCAAGGCATCATCTCCCGCTGTAAGTTGTGACCCAGGTTACTGGGTTCTGAAATTAATTTAGAGGGTCTTTACCAGAATTAAAAAAAAAAAAAAAGAAAAAAAAGTAGAGTGGAAGACTTTAGAGTGAAGTGCATGTGGTAAGGTTAAGTTTTATTTTGCAAAATTTGTGTTTGTGTATAGTAATTTTACAGAAAAAGTTAACGTTGCTAAGGACTTGATGTATATTGACTTTTTTATTTCCCACAACAACCCATGCAGTAGGTATCATTATTATTTCTGTTATTATTCCTGTTTTACAGATGAGGAAACAGGCTCAGGGCTATTGGGTAACTGGCCCAAGGTCACAGAGGATGCCAGGGTTCCAGCCTGCCAGCCCAGGCTGGTTGCCTGCTTCTCATAGACTCTGTGAGGGATGTGTGCGCATGCACACGCGCGTGTGTGGACTGGGTTGCAAAGTAAAGTGTCTTTCTTATTCTACAAGTTGTGTTAAAAAAAAAAATCGGAAAGGTTTTGTTTGACAGACATGTGTAACCTCACTCTTACCCCCTCCAGATCTCCGAGCTGCAGCCACAATAACCTTTCACACTGCAAATTGGATGATGCTTCTCCTCTATAGCAGGGTCCCATACTCTTAGGACAGTGTGCAGTCTGTGTGGTGACACATCTGTGCAGCCTGACCCCTGCCGGCCTCTTGAGCCTCACAGCTCGTCCTGTCTCCCAGGCTTGGAGACCCCTTGGATCCTCTGCATGTGCTCCCATGACCTCAGACTCAGCGAGGCCCTTCAGGATCTGCTCCCATGGTACCCTGGACTGCAAGTTCACAGCACATGCTACATCCATAAAATAATAGTTTCTTGTTCACTTGATGTCTATCTGGGGTAGGGGCACATAGGCTGGCTCATACACCCAGCCCTGAGGACAGTGTCTGGCATGTCAATCAATGAATGCTTACTGGGTGTTCCATTAGCTGTGGATGGTAAAGAAAGGCAGGAGTCTCATTTTTGGCTGAATCAACTATCTCTATTAAAATATTCCTTACTCTCTTCTTTTCCTCCTAGCTGACCTTTCTAGAAAGCATTTCTTTAATTAGCCATGTTTATTTCTGTAGATGGATCAAAACCTTTTGAGTATGGGTTTTTTAAAATTTAATTTTATCTGTGTGTGTGTGTGTGTGTGTGTGTGTGTGTGTGTGTGTGTGTGTGTGTTTAATCTAGTGGATTCCTGATGTACTGTTCTACCTGGATGAAGAACTGCTGGCCCACATCTGTTGGGTGGGCCCTCAAATCCCTGTGGGGGTGGGCACTGTGGTTAGTGAGAGTCCTGGACCCCAGATCAAGAAACAGAGAGGCTCTGCCTACACCACTTCTTTACAGTTCTGCCATGAGACAGCTTCCTGGTCCATAAAATGGTAGGGATGACTGTACCCACGTACCTCTGGGCTGATTCATGGCAATCAGAGGAGACAAATTGTGTGTGAAAGGTACATGACATTGCGGTATGGGCTGTTCAGGAAGGTGGTGGTTTGTTTTTTTTTCTCTCTTCTTGCTTGGGTCTCCTTGTGCTTGACATTGACCCTTTGTGATTGGAGAGGCCCTGTAAGTCCAGTGGTATCAGGCCAAACCAAAGTCAAGTGCAGTTCTTTCCTCTGTTGAGTGAATATAGCCCTGGGCCAGAGTCATTTAAATTTTTCTTTAGGTTCACATATTGGTGATTTTTAAAACTTGATATTTGCCTCGAGGAGCTTTCTGGCCTACATTAGTACAATGACAACTGTGTTCCACTTCAGCCCTGAAATCATAACCGCATTGATAATAATTATAGCGCTTGTTTTTTGGGCATCTGCCATATGCCAGACCTGTGCTCAGAGTGTCTGTGATGTCTTACCTTCCCACCCACCAACTTTGTGAAGTAGATGGTGGACTCCGCATTTTGCAGAAGAGAAAACTGAGGCCCAGTAAAACTTGCCAAGGTCTTCCAGTTGGCGTTCTTTGTAGAATGCCTTTATCATTTTAGTTACAACTACCCTGCTAATTTTTTTTTTGACTTAGAAAATAATGACTCTAAGCTCCTTGAGAGCAATTTTAATAGTTGTCTTTTTGTCTATTCTATATAGCCTGTGTTCTTCATTGGTGTAATCCTGCTTCTCCTGGGTGAGATACCTGCTCAGGAGGTCTGGTTGTCCAGGCCAAGAGTTCCCAGTGCTGGACTCTGTAGGGGTCTCTGGAAGTGCTTCCTGCTCCATCTGTTCCCTCCCCCAGTGGTGGGGTGCCTGCTGATTGGATGGCGTGCATGCTCTGGAGATAGGATCTGATTTCTTCTCTTCACGACTTCATTTTACTTCTACACGCTCCTGTTTGTCTTCTCTGGCTGCATTTGTTTTCCCTCTTTACTGCTGCACTTTATTGCTCTTTGCTGGCTTCTTTATTTTTATTTTCTGGATTTGCCTGAAATGCATCTTGATTTTGACATCTGTAGGTGTTTAAAGCCCTGCTCTTTGTTACTAATGATTTCCCACATTTTGCAGAGTTCCATTTGGTGGCAAGTCTATTTTGCAAGACCCTGCTACTTTCGCTTCTGTCATTAAATTTTAATTTTTTTCTGTGCCTGCTCTTTTATATAAATTTATATTTTATTCTATGGATTGTAATAATGGACCTTTGGTGTCCTACAATTTGACTTCCAGTCATACGTTCATGGCGCAGAGGGTGCCTTTATATGTCCTTGCTCTTTCTGAAAGGCAAGTCTGTGTCTTTTTGGCGCTCCACACCCTCCATTGGCTCTTGTAAGATTGGTTCTGAGCACCTCATCACAGTGTAGGTGACTACAGGTCCCTCTCCCTGCTGCCTCTTCACCCTCACCTCACCTGCCACAACCCCCTGATCCCCCTCCACTAGGCCAGTAGTTCTCAAACTTTTCATTTCAAGACCCCTTTAAAAATTCTTAAAAATTAGTGAGGTCCCCAAAGAACTTTCAATGATGTGGATTATATCTAACAAGATTTACTATATTAGAAGTTGAGATTGAAAAGTTTTAAAAATATTTATCGGATTTGTTTAAATGTAGCAATAATAAACCTATTACATGGTAACATAAATAACATTTTTAATGAAAAGAACTATTTCCAAAACATAAACATTTAATGAGAAGAGTGACAATGCTTTACTTTTTTCCAGATCTCTTTAATGTCTGCCTTAATGGAAGCCAGCTGGATTGATTCTTCTAAATACTTTTGCATTCATTCTGTTGCAGTGTGTTGTGTTGGTTGAACTATATGAAGAAAATACAGCCTTACACGGATATGTAGTTGGAAAAGGTGGGGGAGTGTTTTAATAACCTGTTCGGTTAATTGTGGATAGCCTTTGAAACTAAACCAGTGCTTGACAAGTGGTAGTTTCTTAAAGGTTTGTTGTAGCATAGAATCTGAAATCATATCAATGAACTTTTCATACCCTCTTACATTAAAACCTGTTGGTCTTTCTTGCACTTTGAAAGGCTCTTTTATGCGTTTTGTAACATGCATTAGTCATTTGGAAAATACCACATTTGATAATTGAACTAGCAAGCTCATCTGAAGTCTTTTAAGTATTGGGATGCCCTAAAGTTTACAGTGGCCAATATAAGTTTTCCAAAATTTTAATTTTTGCTTAAAAGCTCAATTTTTTTCTTTAGCAACAAATGCCGTCTATTTTCCTTGAAATAATAAGCTCGTCTTATTCATTTTTGAGAAAATGTCTAGATACCCCAATCTGAATAACCATAGTTTTTCTGTCTGTCATCTTTGAAGTAAAAATGGTGTTCCGTGAAGAAGAATGGCTAATTCAGCTCGCAGTTCAGTCACACAAGTGCTTTTTCTTCCTGACAACTGTCATACTTTGGCTTGCAACAGAAGTGCTTTATGAGTGCTTCCCATGCTGCCACATGAGACATTAAAAAGATGTGTACTCAAGGGTCGATATTTAATAAAATTAATAATTTTTACTGCTTCTTCAAGGGCATTCGTAGGTGAGGTTGACTTTTTTTTTTTTTAAACCGTGAATGAGTGGCAGTGGAGAATACAGTGACTACTGATACAGTCAGATGCCACTGCCTTGATTCTTGCTAAGGCACCCACCACTGCCGTGGCACCATCAGTGCAAACCTCGGCACATTTGAAGATGGCTTTGACCTTGTAGCACCCCCAGAGAGGACCTTGGACCATACTTCGAAAACCACAGGATAAGACCAAACTGTCTGATTCATCTGCACACACTAGACTCTCCTGCCTCCCGTCTGCCTGGAACACTCATTGTCACCACCACTCATCCTTGTGTGTGAGTGTGCATATATGTACATATATACACATGTATGTATCTGTGCATATATGCATATATATTTATGCTTCAGCATCTATTATTTCAGTTAATACTGGTTGTACTAATCACAGGGCCTCACCCAAAAGACTAGACTGTGAGCCAGGTTTCATATTTATCTTGGTGTTAGTAACACCAAGTATCATGCCTATTCAGTGTTAACTTGTTAAATGGTGGCTACCTTCATCATCGCTATATCATTATTGCAAGGACTTAATAAATGGTTTTTGAACAAAAGAAGAGTTTGGGTTAGTATTTCCCCAGGTGTCCTTAGAACATTGGTTCTGTGTGATGTCAGTAAGCATTAAGCACGAAAGGGCTTCCATGGTTAACTAGACTTGAGAATGTTCAGACAGGTTTTTAATTAAAAGATTTCCCAGATCCTGTATTGTATAATGTGCACTGTGAATCTTTAAGGAGGATGGGAGGCTACAGAACGTTGTATTTCCCAAATTGAATAACATGTGAATCTTCTTTCCTTGGCATATTGCATAGGTTCCTTGGAATTTTTTGGGGAAATAATCGTGTGGCCTGGCTTTTCCACTTTTGCAGATGATGAAATTGATTACCTGTGTTCGTTCATTCATGCATTACTCAGATATTTAATGAGCACCTCTCCAGGTGAGACTCTGGTAGAATTAAGTATGCAATGGCAAGAAAAAAAAGAAAACAACCCCCACCCCCCAAAAAAATAATAAAACGACTTGGAGTAAATGTTAATATACTATTTGTACGGAGAAGATGGTTAAGTGAGAGATTGAAGTTTTCATCACCTCGTCATCCGAAATGACTAGTGGTCCGTCAGTGGTATGTAGGAAGGTGCACAGTGCTAAACCATTTGTTTTTGACTTTTTCCATTTTCAAAGCTCTGCCAAGTTGTTTAGGTATTCTTCTCAGTACTTTGCCACTGCTGGCATCCCTGTGGTCCACACCACTGATGAAGGTCCGTAAAGATGTGGGCCATCTGCCTGACCACATCATCTGAGAGTATCGCATGTTAGAGATAGGACCTTTGAAACGTGAGCCAACTTCCTCTTAGCGCCTGGCACATAGTAGGTGCTTGTACATCTTGATTGGTTGAACGAAGAATGAATAAACATGCTCAGAAAAATCTGAGACTAAAGGACAAATGCCACACCATGGTCTTATCACCCTAGTACCCATACTCGCTGTGCTGTGTGGGGCTGGCTGAATGAAACCATATAACATGCTTTGTATGCTCCGTTGCTCTGACTGGGCCCATTTTGGAGGGAACCAGTGACTCTTCCTTTCTCTTCCATGGAAAACAAAACACACCCAACTTTCTGTTTTGATCTAGTAGTGCCCATCCATTGAGGGGGAATGTTACTGCACTCTTTTTATGAATATATTTAATCAAAGGATGTGATGTTGATACAGGAAAATTGGCCTTCAGTCTTCTGACTGGACAGATGATAGCGGGAGGGTTTTGC